TTTCCAGGGAAAGCCCCACCTGCTGTACTGGCTTGGATTCTTTGTTGTACTGCTTTTTGTGCAGTGAGTTCTTCCATCAACTTAATTTGGAAGCCAGAAGAGCAAAGGGTCATAAATATCCCAGAAGAAAGCAAGCAGAGTGTAATTCCACAGAAAGCAAGATTGATTAAATGAAGAGTGCAAAAACTCTGTTTTCAGATCTTTTCCTCCTTAGTTGGCAAACCTGAGTTGGCAAATCCTTTTTCAAGATCTGAACAAGGAAAGCCATGCTAGTTTTAATCTATGTCACAGTGTATATAAAATTAATTCCCATGCTGGAACCATTTCTCATAGACTGTTTGACCAGAGCATCTCCATAGGAAATTGCCAGATCATTTGATACTAGAAAGCAGGTGCTCATCACACCTGCTGGAAAGAAAACTCTCCTTGATGCTGTATGGAAAATAGGATTGAACAGGGTCTCTTGAGTGGGTTGGAATGCTTGGTCCTTTCTTATTATCTTAGGGGGAGAAATAAAATGGGACACAAAGTTTATTAGTGGTGGTGATTTTGGACCCACTTGGGAATGCTTTCTGGCAATTCATCAATTGTCCTTCCTATCACTGCACGTGTTTTTCATTCATGCAGTGTCTGAGAATGCCAACAGAAGAAACTAAACCAAGCAGGGAAAAAATGTCACAAAATTTCCAATTGTTACTGAGTTGATTCTGAATCATAAAAATAGTAGGGCAGAGAAAAATTGCCCATAAAATATCCAAGACTGTAAATCTTCTTACAACTAGAAATCATTTACCCTGATCTTCCATCATTTTGTATATCCAAGATCCAGAAAGAGATGTAACCGCTTTAGAGTCAAAATAAATGATAGCTTGAAATCAGGTCTCCAGATTCCCTACATACTGTTACTCACTATATGAATAGCACAGATTATTCTTTTCTTCTAAAGAGAAGAGGTAGACAGTAACAACCACTTTGTAAGGAAGTATAATTATTTGGGAAGGTTGTTTTGATCTAGTTCTAGATACAGGAGTTGCATGAGTATAGTAGGTAAGCTTCTTATCTGATGTGTTCCTCTGTTTCCCACATATAAAATGAGGCTTATGTTAGTACCTAGATCACAAGATTGATGTGAAAATAAAATGAGTTGGTGCATACTTAACATTTAGGATTGCCAAAGGCACAATATAAATTTTTACCAACATTTCAGGTCTAAACAAGCTGAATAGTTTGTGTATCTAGTAAATCACTCTCATAGTTTACAATCTTTGGGAAATAAGAATGAAGATAAACTATGTCTGGAACTCTCTAGCTGATCAGCATAGAACTGCTTATAGTAATTGATGTTTCTACTGAACCTTAAACCAGTGGAAGCAGCCATTTCTCTTTATGATTTGTCTCCTTATCTCTTCAAAATTCATCCTTTCATGATTTCATGATTTGCTTTTCTTACATAGATATAGATATAGATA